AGTCTCTAGTGAGGAAGTTCAAAATATTGTATCCAAAGAGTTCGACAAATTGTGGCTTAAATTGGAAAATACTATAACCGATATAATGTCTGCGCAACTCAAACCATTAAAGGACGAAATTACAAACTTTAAACAAAGTGTATCTTTCATTAATTAAAATAATTAACAGTTTCGTAGATTCACCTTTCCTATCGTCTAATATTGATTTTAATTGTTCACGAATAAATTCTAGATATAAACCATTATTTAATGTGCCGATTTGTAAAACGAAAAGTACTAATAATATTATCTTCTTATATCGTAGCTGCCAAAATTATAATAAAGTTTATTAAGATATTTATATATTATTTGAAAAATGTATTCTTTTAAAAATAAAATAAATGAGATTAATTTATGTATCAATTCATACCTAGTTTGTTTTGACGTGTATAAATGTTTTGCCTGTAATTTAACTAACTGATGTAGCCATTAATGCCTTCAATTTTAAGTGTTTTTTTCCTTTTTTTTTTTAAATTTGTTTCGTTTAATTATATTTATGTTAGATTTTATTCATAACTGCCGAAGAAATTCGTCAGTATACGTTTTCAATGTTTATTAGTCTTTTTTAATTTTAATAATATGTGTCTAATTACCAGTGGAAACTTAGCTGATATATATAATTTTGTATAATTAATAATTATATCCCATAAGTTCATCTTATTGTTTGTTTCCCTGAAATAAAATAAAATAACATACATACATTGCAAGTGAAATAATAACTTGTAAAAGTTTTTGCATTCATTGTATATATAAGAAACAGTCATGACGGGCAGACGAGAAGTGTATGATATAAAATATATTTAGGCACATATTGATAATAAATTTCTGAATTTAATTTCGTAGCAACCCAAGTGCGAACTTGCACTAAATACTTTATGATCTCTCAGTAAAACATAAAATCTGGACCGCGTTATGTACAGATTGTAAGTTCTTATCTTATTAAATATATGTGATACATCTATCACCCTTACCATGGTTACACCATTCAATAATATCATATAATAAGTTTGACATCACCAACCCTTCTTACGCAAGCGTGGTGATTAATGCTCAAACCTTCTATATGTGAGAAGATGCTCAGCAGTGGGCTCTGATAGGCTGATGACGATGGAAACATCTCATATAATCTCCTATATTATGAATATGTATTGAATATATTCATAAAATTATGATTTCCCAGGTCGGTGGAAGAGGCCAAAGCGAGGTTGTCGGAGGTGTAGCGAGCTCTGAACAGCTCCGAGCTGGGTTCAGACTTGAGATCCTGCAAGAGACTGCTGCTACTACACCAGGTGGTTACATCACATACTAGCTGTTTACTGCGACTTCATGCGTGTATTAGGTATTACTCAGATGGTGATTAATGTGTATCAAATATAACGGATGTCATTATGAGGTCTAAATTGCTTTATAGAAGAGTTTTATCAAAATCAGTTAGGATAATTTACTTGTAAGACCAACATATATCCATACATACCTACTAGATATACTATATACATATACATATATATAGTATTGCTTTTCAAATTATTATCTGTCGTAGTTATGCCAGCTAACTGATATAATTTGTGGTAACTGTCAGTGTGAGAGTGATGATGTGGTTTTAAAGATTTCTTTTTTTGCTAACATTATTTTTATAGAATCAAAGTGTAAAGAGCTAATTGCTGGTGCTTTAATAACTAGATTTAAAGTAAGGGCTCCTCAGGCGAGAAAAAAATTTGTTTTAAAGTAAAACAAGTAGAATTATATTGTTTAGAAATGTGTATTGATAAAAACAATTATTGTTTACAGAAAAATGAGATTTCGTCCTTGTTGTATTTACTAGAACATAATATATCCATATTTATATAATATTCAATAGTAACATAAATGTCTACAGGCTCTGGAACAAGAGTTGAGTCAATGCGAACAACGAGCGGAGTCCCTTGCAGCCCAGGGCTCCGACCTAGTCTCCAGTGGTCACTTCGACGGCGCGGCCATTGAGAGAGACTCCGCTGCGCTGCTGCAGACCGCCCGGGCGCTCCGCCCTCGAGCGGCCGAGAGGAGACAGGCGCTGGAAACTAGTCTACAGTCAGTATACGATATAACTAAAACAAAATATGATTCAATACAATATTATATAAGAAATGATTAACGGTTGACGGAACAATATATATGTATGTAATACATATATACAATTGAGCCGGGACGGGTATAAAGATTAAAATATTTACTGTAAAGGGCCATAGATCTATTTTAAATCAAAAATGTATTAAAGTTATTTAACTGGATAAGGATTCTCCACTTATTTATGGATATCATTATACATACAAACCTTCCTCTTCAAACAATCTATCTTTCAAAAAAAACTACACCAAAATCCACTGCGTAGTTTTAAGTTATTAAGAATGCATACGGATATAGGGACAATAAAAGCAACTGTTTTATAATTTATACCATGTTAGCTGCGCCCCGCGGTTTTACCCGCGGATTTCCGAGATTTCCGGGATGTAAAGTAGCCTATGTGTTATTCCTGGACGTCAGCTTCCTGTACACAAAATTTTATCAAAATCAGTTCAGCCGTTTGAGCGTAAAGAAGTAACAAACATACATTTTCCTGTTTATTCATTAGTCTTAAATTGTACCTAAATAATGTAGCACCTGACAAAAATATTGTTTTTGTAATGATTATGCCGTGTACACATACTTAAGAATATAATCAAGCTAAAAATAATTTTAGACTGTAACTCATATGTAATCCGGCTTATATTCTGTTTGTGTGCCTAAATTAATAAATAAATACATACACACTCACAAACTTTCGCAATTATAATATTAGTAGGATAGTAATAGTACATAATCAATTTGAGGACTAATTTTATTCATCCAAATCCTCCACAGACTACACAAGTTCGCTGCCGAGGTTTCAGGAGAGCTAGCTTGGGTGTCGGAGCGCCAGGCCGCCGCTTCATCTGCCACGCGCAGAAGAAACACGCCAAGCTGAGGGTGGAGCTGGAGGGGCGGAGGCCTGTAGTGGAGAGGGTGCTCCAGCGGGGCAAGGAGCTGGACACGCATCCACAGGTTGGGAAGGTGGACTATATATATAACTCACATTCTCATGTATTACATAGTAATGTTATATAGTTATATGTCCCATTGTATTTGTAGTGATTATATGTAGGTATTTATTTCTAAGAGAGAAACACGCGTCCGTTCGATAGTGCAGAACTGACGCATAGTAAAAAATGTCCATCTTACCAACGTCATAGTATCATAGTTAAATTCATTCTGGATCTCCACACCATACCTTGGTTCATCTGAAATATTATATACAGCATGCATAATTAAATTATTCTTTGACAATGTTCGGCTGATAATTGATTTTTTTTTAATATTTTTTGAGTGAATTCTTGAAGTAAAACTTCTTATGCGACTACCAACAAGGTTGCGTTAAACGTTCAACGAAGGGAAAGAAAGATACACAAATGTAGAAAGTAGGAGAGAGATTGTGAGTAGATTCCCAGCACAGTACTGTTGCTTACAGCGAAGTAAACAGTGTGAACGCGACATTAACTGAAACACCAATTTGTATTATATTAATTTATGTATATACATACTCGTATAATTCATTTCCTCAGTCAGTTGTGGCCTAGTGGTTAAAAGTCCCGCCTCTCGTGCAAGAGGGCACGGGTTCGGTCCTGGCAAGTACCAATGTGATTTTTCCGAGTCATATGTACTTTATAAGAGTATTTAGACATCACTGATTAATGCATTCCAAAAGAGGTTTGATGTCAGGCAGGCGTCCGGTCGTAAAATCAATTAGGCAAAACTATTCACACATCTTAGGCAGATCCTGGCTAAATCTGGGAAATTGCCAGGAAGAAGAAGATAAATTTATGCATATACATATAATTTATTTCCCTACTCCACTCACTAAACTATAACGATCACATTCCAGATCAAGCAGCTGTGCCAGGAGCTTGAAGAGGCGTACTCCTCTGTATCATCGGCGGCGGAGGAGTGCGCGGTCCGGCTGGAGGCGGCGGTCAAGGCCCAGCAGTTCCTGTATGATGCAGCGGAAGTAGACTCCTGTCTGGCTGACAAGTCCACCGCACTGGCTTCCGGTGACGTCGGCAATGATAGGCATAGAGCGACGCAACTACTCACACGGCATAAGGTAATATATATATATATATACAGGGTGATTGGTGAATTACTATCAATATTTAAGGAGAATACTCGGTACATGATTCTCATTCGAATTATGTAAAAAAAATAGGTACTTAATTTTTGACCAAATTTCCGTATAAATAAATAAAGCGCGGACACGTTCCAAGTGTTCCAAGTGTGGACGCGTGCGGCAGCGTGCTGATACAACACCACGCCGCCGCACGCGTATGTGTGTGTGTGTGTATACCTAATGTGTAGGGTGTTCACACGATGCGTAATTAATTACATAACTTTTGGTTAACTTTACTTAGAAGTTTATTAATATTTATGTTATATTAATTTTTATTTTGTCATAGATGATCGTCAAATATCACGTCCTCAAGTATCGATAGTAATTCGCCAGTCACCTGTATAGTGATTAATCATTTCTTGTAGCTCAAAAATTGAGTGATATGACGAAAATCTAATTCTTAGCGATGTATATATATATATATATATATATATATATATATATATATATATATATATATATATATATATATATATATGTATATAATGATATCCATAAATAAGTGGCAGCCGTTTGGCAGGAGTATGACATCTAACATATATATATATATATATATATATATATATATATATATATATTATGGACTTAAATCAGAAGAAGTTGTCATTATTTAAATTTCTAACAATTTCAATTAACAGAAATATAATAATACAGAGTATATTCAGCATTATCTTACAATTCCTCTTTAACCTACCAACAGGCCGTAGAATTCGAGTTGGATACATACGCGGCGATCATAGCGGAAATGGGTCACGTGGCGCAATCCATGGCTTTCGGTGGTCATCCTGAGGGTGCCGCGCTGGTCACCAGACATGACCAGCTGGCTGGCAGTCTGGCTAGGCTGCAGAGACTGGCAGCGAGCAGGCAGGCCGCGCTCGTGGAGAGTGTGTGCAGGTGAGAGATACTATACAGGGTGACTGGTGAATTACTATCAATATTTAAGGAGCATACTCGGTACATGATTCTCATTCGAATTATGTAAAAAAAATAGGTACTTAATTTTTGACCAAATTTCCGTATAAATAAATAAAGTGTGTACACGTTCCAAGTGTTCCTAGTGTGGACGCGTGCGGCCGCGTGCTGATACAACAACACGCCGCCGCGCGCGTATGTGTGAGTGTGTAGTGTAGAGTAATCTGTAGGGTGTTCATACGATGCGTAATTAATTACACAACTTTTGGTTAACTTTACTTAGAAGTTTATTAATATTTATGTTATATTAATTTTTATTTCGTCATATATGATCGTCAAATATCACGTCCTCAAATATCGATAGTAATTCACCAGTCACCCTGTATATATACATATCATATTCGTCGCACTAGTTATAATCAAGAAGGGCTACAAGAATTTGTAAATTTGTTTCGAGGTAGTTTAGAAACAGGAGACTGACGTAGCATACTTTTCATTAAGCGAGGTCGAAATTTAAATAAATAACTACTTAACAAAGACTTCTTATTTTTATTATTTTTTTATTTTTATTATTTGAACGGCACATCGACAGTACACACATTAAGCACTTAAAACTAAACATTTAAAACTAAACACTAACTGATGTATGTACCAATTATGGATGTACACAGCACTGGAAACGCCAACATGTTTTACCATCTCTAGTAAGAGCCTCCTGAATCTTATGCTTATATATTTGGTGTCATTCATCATATTGCAACGATCTTCCGATACCTTACACGAAGTTTGAACTTTTCTGACAATAGCCTAATCAAGGCCTTTGTGTACCATGGAGGATAGTTTTTAGATTTAAATTTATTTTTTTTGGTACAGATTGTTCAATTATTTTGTTAAGTATATTATAAAATACAGACACCATCTCATTAACACAAACGCAAGAGAAAAACTAGGTTTCCCAAGTTACTACTTCGAGTTCCGTTGTAATTTTACTATAATCTGCCTTTAAAAAATTTGGAATTACGCACTCATTTGGTGGTAATGGATGAAAATTCAGATCCTCAATAGTACACAAAAGATTTGGATGGTGAGCATCCAATTCACGCAACAAATCCAAAGCTTTACTCACTTTTACATTAGGTAAATTACAAATTATCAAGTCCAAAATATGGCCTCTATCATTAGTTACACCATTATACTGATATAAATTATTCATATTTAAGAAGTCTATAAATAATGTTTCTATGGCCCTATTGTTATTAGACGAACACATATAAGAACCATAATTATTATTATTCCAGACTACAGAACTTAAGTTAAAATCTCCTAGAATAATAATATTGTCACAGAGTTGTAAAACATTTGTAGCCATATTCACAAATGCATTAATTGAATCCAGCTTAAGTGGAGGAGGAAAGTAGACAGCACATATTACCAGCTTAATTGGTTTTTTATTTATGATAATATTGATAGCGACCCAGAGAGCTTCACCGACGGTTTCCCAACTCGATATCCTACAGGACTGAATATCACGAGATATAGCTATCAACACTCCTCCTTCATCCTGTTTGGTAACTACGCAATGCTTATTACTATCAGAACCATTACCATTGTCTACAATTAATCGATCCCTGCGATACACAATATAGCGAGAATCAATAAATTCATTATCTTTGATACCTGAGTTTAGCCACGTCTCTGTAAATACAATAATATCATAGGAACACAACAAAATGTTTTTATAAATTTCGTTTGTTCGAGTACGAATACCTCGTGTGTTTTGATAGTACACTTTAATCGAAGAGAATTTTTATTTTGGTGATTCCAAGGAGCTTGTGCTATTCAAAATGAAATTTAATTAAATTAAACAATAAGTCTTATGCTATCAGTGTTCCGAATTAAAATGGCTTGACTAGATTCATTTTTACGGACGTAAATTCTGCCATTACGAACCCACGTAAACCTGTAATTCAATTCTTTGGCCTTAATGCGAGCCGCCGCATGCAGTGACTTGTTGGCTGGAGTTAAATGCTCGCCCACGTATACTTGTGAACGAGCTCCGCCAAGTCCTAGTTGATGAGAATTAAGTTTGTCTTTGGGGTTTTTCTTGTTGAAGTTTTGCACGGCAGCTAGTAGTGTGTCGCGGTGGCGTGGAGTGCGAAGTCTGGCAATAACGGTTCGTGGTTTCTTATTTTCCTTATTGAGTTTAGCAACGCGAGTAACTTGAACTATATCGTCATTCGAGAGACTGACGTTTACTGTCTTAGCCAACTGACCAAAAATGTTGACAAGGTTTTCATTGCTATGTTCAGGAAGGCCGTTTATTTCGATATTACTCTCTCGCATAAATTGTTCCGCAAGGTTCAACCTAATAGTTAAATCGTTAACTGTAGAATTCAAATGATCATTGTTCGATTTTAGCTTATGAATAGTGACTTCGCTGTCATCAAGACGCTTTTTTAGGTCTTCGTACTGTTCATTAAAAAAAGGTAATAGCCTCTCTAAATCCACTTATTTCTTTGTTAATTTCCTTCAACTTTTCAGTTATTATATCGGATAAATTTTTGGTTATGATCGTTGATAAATCTGATTTGAAACTCTCCAAAATGTCGCGAAGCGATTCTGCATTTATAACAGAGTTGCGGGCTAAAATATCGTTTTGCAATTTGGTGCTATTACTTCGAATAGTAACATTATCGATATCCAAGGAAGTCCCGCAATCTTTTAATACACAATCAACCTGACTGTTTAGTGGTGGTCTAATAGGCGTATTAGTGTTATTTATTTTTGGCATCTTGTTACGACATCCTTGCACTTCCAGTTAATTTTGCTTTCATTAGATAGCGACTTGAATTTATTAGGCGAGATATTTGCACATAGGAGATCATAACTACGCTTGCATTGATGACAAATCATAAATTCTTTAACTGGTAATTTATTGCGACAGCCTGTACAGAAGTTTGGCATCTTAACTTATTGTAAATTATACCAGTAGTTGTTTTCAAATGAAAAATTAAAAATCTTAATTTGCTTTTTATAATCCCGCTGGGGCTTAAACCGTGATCCTTATCGTCACACCGTTAAATCGACTAACAGTACCACTGCGCTATCATACGAATACTTGACAGCGTGAAATTGTAGATAATGTATAATTCCTGATCAACTGAGTCAGAGTTTATGGACATTCATTTATTATTGTATATTGCGTTAAATTGATGTACCCACTTATTTATTTACCATCCGTAACACTGTTAAAAGTTTAATTATATGGTTTGTTTTTAAATAGATTCACACAAATTTAATACTATTTACTCGCACTAATGCGGTAACCAAAAAGTGTATCACTTTTTCACTATTTCGACAGTTTAAAATATAGATTTTAGAATTAATAAAGCAGAGACAGCAAAACACGTCTTGCGCTTATGACACTTCAATTGTTACACACACATTCTTATTTACTGCTTCTTAAGCGTTACACAGTAACGCCTTTCTATTCCTGAAGTTGATTATGAAGAAGTTGCTGACAAAGACTAGTATATGTGTGTTATAGGAATATATAAATAGGATATCCTCTAAAAATATGTGTGTCTATCCTTAGACATGAATATCTGGCTGAGAGCGCTGAGTTGGAGGAATGGGTTGCGGAGCAGCAAGCAGCCGCCTCCAGTGAAGACTACGGACAGGACTATGAACACTTACTGGTTAGTAACGATATGTAGATGATGATGATGATGAGAGGGTGCTCCAGCCATCACACTTGGTGATGGAGACATTATTCCGTTATATCTTCAAATACTAAGCTTTGAAACTTCACGGAAATCCGTTCAACAATACTCTTTTAGAAACTAACGAATGAATGCTAAATTTCGTTGAAATTTAAGTCAATTTGAGCATTTAGTACGTAATTTAGTGTTTTTTTTTATTTCTTGTATCTCAGAAGGATGTGCAAAGATTAGCATGTCATAATATTAAGTATACCTAAAGTTTTACAGCTTAATTAAAATATCCTCCAAAACCATTTAATTATATCTATAATATAAGACATCATATTTCCCCAACCACAGATTCTTAGGTCCAAGTTCGAAGAGTGTAGAGAGTGGGGCGGAGAGGTTCAACCAGTGTGAGGAGCTGGCCAAGAAGCTGGTCGCCTCAGACAGCCCATACATCGCTGACATTGAAAAGTGACAGGAAGTACTCGGGTGAGGGGAACTTGGGAAATGACCCTTAATTACATAACATATAGGATCTAATTCAGATATCCAATATGTCCACATAAACTTATACCAAACAAAATTAGCTTTAACCATACATACAGATATAGAATCTAAATAAGACATTCCACAAATGCAAATTAATTTGTACAAGTTAAAATGAGACTTAATGACTAGATATAGAATTTAATTTAGACAAAGAAAAATGAGACTTAATTACATACACATAGAATCTAATTAAAAAATTCCACATGTCATTTAAAACAAGGCAAAATGAATTTTAATAATATATTTATAAGATCTAATTTACATAATCCACAACTCAAATACAATTCATACATTCCAGCGAGTCCTGGCAGCGTCTGGTCAGCGTAGAACAGATCCAGTCCTGCAGCCAGCGCCTGGCTGCTGCTGGCGAGATACACCGCTTCCACCGCGACGCCGACGCCGGGGACCTGCTGGCGCGGGCCGGGGAGCGCCGGGCACGCCTTCTTGCGGGACCACGACGCAGCCGAGAACGATATGGTCGCTATAGACGCGCAGATGCAGGTACTACAAAAGAATTATTATGGTTAAACATACTTTATTTTTCTCAAAAAGAAATTACATTTCACTTACTTGAGAAAATTATGACGATAAACATATTATGTATTTTAAATTAAAACTTATTCATAGTTTAACATATTCTTACAATAAATTTTGCTTTAAACATGAAATTTAAAATATACACCCTCAAAGCACCAATAATTGTGTACAAAACAGTGATAAGAAATGCAAACACAGAGTAACTACATATTAAGATTGACTTATAATGAAATCTAAGATTTTAAACTGAAACTAATATTTTTTGGATGAACGTTTTGATAAAAAACTACATATTTCCGACGTTTCGTTTACTTTACAGTATCATGATCACGGGCAGACGATATGATAAATATTAGTTTCATTTAAATGAATACTTGTCAAAATCTATTTCATAATATCATAGCTCCTCATTTAATGTAGCCTAATTCTGCCTAAATAAGATTTTAACAGATTTTTTGCAGTATTTTATACTTGTAGTAATATACTTCCTGGCCCGGGCAAGTACCAATATGATTTTTCCGAGTCATATGTACTTTCTAAGAATATTTAGACATCACTAATTAATGCATTCCCAAAGAGGGTTGATGTCAGGCAGGCGGCCTGTCGTAAAAACAATTATCCAAAACTATTCACAACATGTAAGGTAGACCCTGGCTAAAGCTGGGAAGTTGCCAGGTAGAAGAGATAGTTGTAGTGATATTAAATCTATTTACAGGTGCTCCAGGAGGAAGTAACTCCCAGCAGATAGCGCTGAGACAGCAGGCGCTCAGTGAGGCGTGGCGGTCACTGCGAGGTGCTGCAGACCTTAGGAGGAAACTGCTGCACCAACACCTGGAATCACAGACCTTCCTATCCGAGGTATTACTGTGGGATTTCACTATTATACAAAACCTTTATGATCTGATAGTGTGTTAATATATTGCTACATTTGATTACTCTATCTAATTTATATACTATATTTTCTTTATATACTAATTAATTATTAATGATTTTACGCCTATAAATAATGGATCCTTTATGATATTTTATTTCCATTAAGACATTATTATCACTTATATGAGAATTACACTTATAACAAAAACATTTATAAATATACAGTTCGACATCGCACTTGTAACAAAAATTAAATGAAATAACGTTTAATTAAGAGATATTTTTCTATATTAAGCACTAATTTAATGGTTGTCTTAGTTTTGATTATTTATTATTTAATATATACTATCTGCCCCGCAAACGTTGTTTTATCATTTCAAAAGTAGGGGTTGGTGATAAAAAAAATATTTAGGATTTTATGTATTTTCTTATGACACTTGATAAAAAAATAAAAACAAAACCTTTCGTCCAAATCAAAACAAAATTTTGGGGTGAACAGCCCCTATTACTTAGGTTATGAAAAATAGGTATTGGCCGATTCTCAGAGCCTCAGACCTACTCAATATGCTTACAAAAGTTCATGAGAATCGGTCAAGCCGTTTCGGAGGAGTACGGAAACGAACATTGTGACACGAGAATGTTATATATAAGTTATATATATCATGAATATCATTCCCCAGCTCCGTGACGTCATCTCGTGGTCGTCATCCCTCCGCAGCTAGATGTCATCCCCAGCTGCCGCAGGCTTAGCAGCAGCTGAGGGCGGAGAAAGAGGCGCGCGACGACTGGTTCAAGGACGTACTGGCCAGGGGGCAGAGGTTACTGGATGAGGAACGTCCCAGCTCAGCGGCTAGTACACACTGGAACAATATTATAATATGAAAGACATGTTAGCAATAGTACCTTCTTCTACCTTCCATGATGTGAATAGTGTTGGCTAACTGTTTTTATGACCGGCCGCCTGCCTGACATCAACCCTCTTTGGTAAGAAAAGTAATATTTCTTGTATTTACTTTACTAAGTGTTTATAGTTATTTTTTTTTTTAACGTACTATCGATATTTCACGTGCATCACGAGTAGATTATAGTAAAAACAAAAAATATTAGTAACATTTCAATGACTACCCGTGAAAGTATATCTCATGAGATAAATCTGTTCTGATATGTATAACCACAGGTAATTCTGGTTCATTAATCTCACTATTTAATACTAATTATTTCCAGGAGGAGAGGAGCGTTGCCGCGCGGCAGGTGGCGGGTGGCGTTGGAGCAGCTGATCGACTGGCGCTGCTTCCTGAGAGACGATAAAAGTGAAAAGAATATTAAAAAAAAACGTAATGGAGTAGATCTTCATTTAAATCCACTTGTAAAATTTCACCAAGGATAAAAAAATATCCAAATACACTAGGAAATGTAAAACATAAACATAAAATAAAAAGGTTAAAACATGAAAGAAAATTAATCGAAATTAACATTTGTATATTTTTAATTTTATTTTAATATTTGAAAAGGTTAATTTTCTTCTAAAAATAATCAGAATAATCAAAAATATTTATCGAAAAGTTATTACAAAACTATTGCGCCTATCTTAAGATAAAGTTGTTTAAGAACCTTTGTTTCTTATAATTTTATACCCTTAATTGACGATCCAGTTAAAAAAGTTAATTCTCAATTTGTATGTCTTCTTTGATCTGTATATAAATTATAAAATGAAATTAAGTTGTTATTTGGTGGAACAAAATATTTAAAATAAAAATTTTGAAAATTTGGAATAAAATAGTATTGAAAATATCTAATAGGTATGAACATAATGTAACAAAACGTTCTAAATGATTGTAACCAAAACACATAAAGATTTTTAAAAAATATGGGAGTTTCATACTTTCAGATTATCTCAATAATGCGCAAATGAACAAGCTTTATTTGTAACAGTAAAATGTCGAGAAAGAGATTATTTAAAAATTATTGGTATTAATTAGTAGACAAAGGCTGTTTGAATACTATTTAATGTAAACCGAAACACCTAGCTTGGTTCTCCTATATGCTTTGTATGATCTCTGACAACTTCATACTGTTTTGGGATTTCGTACAATCAAATCATCCCGAGACCTTTTGAGCGTCATTTCAAAAATTAACACCAGGTAAAATGAGCCCACACCCGACATATTCCGGTATTTGGAATGCGTACCTAATTACTTATTGCAGGTTCAACTGGCCAAAGTATTATAAATATATCATACGAAGCATAAAATTTTTAATGCTGTACACAATTGCTATAAGAATGTCCTACAATCTATGCGTACGGTGCAAGTCTATTAATCTACCATTATATATATCGGCGCTATCAGCTTTAATAACGGATGCGAAATGAAAAAAATTTGAGGCTGTCATCTATTCTTATTAAAACTCATTAGTATTTATGATTATTGTTAAAAGTAAAACGAAATCAAAGATTGTTTAAAAGGAGAATAGAACTATGTTTAAATATTGGTACAAATATGACGTCTGGACGCACGACGGCAGAATTAAGAGTTCAGTGAGTGCGTATCATTGAAGTATGTAATTATGAAGAACCTTCGAGAAATACAGGAGCATTAAGAACAATTGAAGTTTCATTTTAAAATATCATGGAACGTACTAGAAGAAGTGACATTAGTAACGTCAGCGAGGCTCTCTTTAAAAACAACGAATTTGTAATAAATCCGATATTTGTACATATAACATTATTCAACTTGTATATCTAATCAACTTCTTTTTCATTCTTATCGTCATAGAGATTTTTTTTGCTTTTAGTAATTTCAAGTCATGTATTTTTTAAATATGTAAGTACATTTTATTTGGATTATTTTTAACTTTACCTTTTCCATTCCAATCATACTTGGTATCTTATTGCTTAAACGAACAAGTTACTTTAACGTTTTACATTAAAAGTAATCCTCAAATGGACAAAATTTCATTGTTTACATTTATTAATAATAGTAGAATATCCATGGACATGATAAACCTGCTACTTTATAATAAATAAACACTTGATCAGTTGTCTATAAAGGGCACAGAAGATTATCAATTAATATGGAAATAACAAACCTTTTTGAATTCACCAAGCTATTAAGTTAAAAATTATGTTGATTAAATATAATTCACATTGACATCTCATCTGCACTTGATCACGGTTGCTGCAAAGTAACCGGAACGTCGGGAGTATGTAGATATAAAATAATAAAAAACGAGAAGTATGTAATCCGAATAATATTAATTTCATTTAAATGAATACTCGCGAAAGTCTTAGATGTCATTAAGCAACATAATTGCTATTAAACCAATATTAGTTAATTCTGCATCAGCTTTCATAAAACTTTCATTATTTCTACTTTAACTTTTTATTGATGCAGACGGTTGATGAATAAGGCGTTTTACAGAGCAGCGAAGGACAAAGTGCTACATAAATTCTGGCAGACTTTAAATAAATTTTGTTCTGGATTTTTAACTTGTTTCTGATGCACCCGTAAAGCAAAGAGTATAAATTTAGTCTTCATTGTTTTAAATTCTTAACTTCGTTATTCTGCCATTTTCACATCAACATATGGTAAAATATTTGCCTTGCAAATAACAACATTACAATAGTTAATTTCGTGTAAAATTATCTTTCCAACTATTCCTATAGCTATCTTCTTCTACATGGCAATTGTCCCAGCTATGGCCAGGGTCTGCCTTACATGTTGTGAATGGTTTTGGCTATTTGTTATAACGACCGGCCGCCTGCCTGACATCAACTCTCTTTTGGGAATCAACATTAATCAGTGATGTCTAAATATTTTTAGAAAGTACATATGATTCGGAAAAATCACATTGGTACTTGCCCGGGCCAGGATCGAACCCGCGCCCTCGGCAACGAGAGGCGGGCCCTTTGACCACTGGGCCACCACTGACCAACTATTCCTATAACTATGTTATTATATAATATTTGAGGGATATTATATTGACTAAACTAAGTCAGTGGTGGCTCAGTGGTTAAAGGGCCCGCCTCTCGGCCTCTCGTCACCGAGGGCGCGGGTTCGATCCTGGCCCGGGCAAGTACCAATGTGATTTTTCAGAATCATATGTACTTTCTAAGAGTAAAAAAAAAAAAAAACCTCAGGATACGACCAATTATATATGTATAACATTTGTTTGAGTAAATCCTCGTAGTTTAACACAGTTTTATATAAATACGAACCAGACCGTTGTCGCGAGACCTCCTTCTACATATTCAATATACACATTGAACCTACTTACGTTTAAATTCATCTTGAACTGTGTTTATTGACAATAACTCTGTTTGTTATTAGTGAAATTTATAAATAATGACTAAAAAACGACTTCATCCATGTCTCGTGGAATGTTAGTTCTCCCTTCACTCAAGATATTTGACACTCCGTCTTGATGAATATAACTATTTGGCATGTAATAACCAAATCACTAGTTTATTTTCATTCAATTATCATTACTATGTATAATGTGCATATAAATAATATAAACACAAGTCAGTGAATGTTCCTCATTAAATCACATTATGTATGTCTAATACAAATATCAAATATATTATTAAATCGTTTCAAACAGCGACTCTCTGAGTAAGTTTTTAAAGTAAAGCACGTTGACTATCATCATCTGTGTGTGTTTCAACATTAACAAACAGTAAGCTAGATACATTAAAACATTGAACTTCTGTTATGTGAACATTTCGTCAGCATTTTATTGAGGTCTTTAAGTATTAAGAAGCAAGTGCAAACATTTTATCTAACAAGTTAAAATGGATTTTACGTTAGAAGTATATTTTAAAATGTATATATATAAAACTTTATATTTATCCTAATAAATAACTTCATATTTGTTTTCTGTAATGACTAAGGTCTATAAGATAAATTTGATTCTAACCGAAATGTATGATTACTTGTTTTATAGTATTTGTATTTGTAATTATAGTACTTACTTTTAAGTGATATCTTCAAGCAGTAATCTTAGAAAAACATTTGATATGTAGACTGTAAAGTAGATGTAGTTTGAGTTCTTAAACAGTGATCACCATGATCGATAGGTAGTAGGAAACAAGTATGTATTCACAATTAGTAACTGAGGATTATTAAATAAGGAATACGGAATAATGCTGCATGACTGAATACGAAATATCTCCTAATGTATAATGTATAATCAATCCATCACTTAAACAACATTATGAACTTAATGATTAAATGGTTTGGAAAAGTTGTTGTGTAGTTGGAGGATGTAGTGATATTAATATGTGAAAAAGAATTTCTTACATTTCCAGTACTTCAAATAGAAGATAATGTTATTATCCATACAGAATTTCCTACATTCCCGGCTCGTTTCTGTTTTCAGAAATCAAAGCCTTCAGCCAGTTAATAAATAATTATTATCAACTTCTCTTTTCTAGTTGTAATTAATAAACGTACTAATGCGGATTCGTTAATATAACTAGGAGCTTCAGAATGTCCCTCTGGAATATATTATTATACTCTCGGAGCAATCTCGTAGTACTCCAGTTTAAAGTGCATTAACTTAACTTCATAACTATTACCTTAAGTCTCATTCTCTTTATGACCCACAGTAATCCTTATGGTATTTTTATAATGAACATCATTTGTTGTGGGCTTTGTAAAGCGCTTTAAGATAATTTAATATTATTTGATTCCAATCCAAGCGACCCTCGTCAATGTCATGTTGCTAACAACCAAGATTGTGTTTCGCTAGGAGCTTTCATTTTCAGGAAATGTAAATATTTCATAACATTTTTTTTTTATGTGAAAGGTGGCATACGAGCAGACGGCCCACTTGATGGAAGGTGGTTACCGTCGCCCATGGACATCCGCAACATCTTTGTTACGGATGCGTTGCCAACCTTGTTTTAGTCTAGGGATAGGGAGGGGTGGGAATAAGGAAATGGTAGGAATAGGAAAAGGGCAGCCGGCTCTCTCACTAAATCAGACGAAACGCAGCCATTAAAGACTACTTAACGTCGATCTTCTGTGAGAGGGTGGTACTTCCCCGGTCGAGCTAGCCCATGTTCGAGCTGTAGTAACTTACAACAGCTAGGCTCTACCACCTAGAATACCACCTACATAAATGTAGTTACTGTTCCCGTCTGTAATGTTGTATCATTTTAGAAATTAACAGGTCACGAGAAATTTACAGAAAGAAAATACATTGAAAAAAGGGAGTAAGTATCTTTAATATTGAGAAAAATAACATTTTCTTTGAGCAAATATTATTTCATTTTCAAAAGAATATATTTTGTATACATACTTTTA